CTCATACTCTTGCAATCGACCAGGTTTTGAGCTATTTTCGACAGTTAATCATCTCATCCATTCTCTCATATTGGAATTTGTATAAGCTCGAAAGAATTGAATTCTCCTTGTAATTTCTTCAACTCATCCACATACTTCTGCATTCTTTTTTCCTTTACCTCGAAACCCTCCTGAAATTGTCCCACCACCAATTGGGAATCTGAGTGCACTTGGACCATTCGATCTCTTCCTGCTAAAGCCGACTGCAACCCTTTGATCACCACCTCATACTCCGCTTCATTGGTGGACACCCGAAATCCCAATTTGGTCGTGAAATCCAAGTTGTCCTCTTTGGGTAAAATCAACACAATCCCATGACTTGCTCCTCCCTTCGATATCGACCCATATACATACAACAACCACCTCCCTTCATATTCGACCTCCATCGTAGTCTCTTCTTGTATAAAATCTGCTAGAACCTGGGCCTTGATCGCCCTTCGAGGTTCGTAGAAAATGGAATACTCACTAAACACCTCTGCCCACTTCATTAGTCGACCTGAAATAGAAGGTCGACCAACGTTTTTCATAAAGGCAATGCTCGTCCTCACATTTTACTTTATTCGTTAAAAATTATGGCCTCAATTTCCGCACTGTTACAACCACCACCAACGCTCCTTTTTCAATCTCAGCGTACCTCAATTCAGCTCCTTGCATGACCCGACTCATGTAGTATATCGAATATTGCGCCACTCCTTCCTGAAGTAATACTGAGCTAATAGCCGCCTCACCAATCGAAATGTACAAAACCATCTCCTCACCTTGAACCGGTTTGGCCACCAAGGGTAAATTGGCCAATATAACTTTAACTCATCAAATGTCTTTTGTGCCTCACTTCTACTGAAATTTTGAGCTCTTCTTCAGAGTCCTAAATAGAAGGCTGCTATGCTCGACCACCTTTGAGATGAACCTGTTGAGACTTGTGATTTGACCAGTCAAAATTTGCACCTCCTTCACGCTCTTCGAGGGTTGCATCTCCAAAACGACTTGCACTTTTTTCAAGCTCACCTCGATTCCTTTCTTGGTCACTATATACCCAAGAAATGTCCCTGACTTTACTCCAAATGAGCACTTAGCAGGATTGGGTTTCATATCAAATATTTATAAAGTAGTAAATGTTTCCTTCAAGTCACCCACATGTTCACCTTCTTCCTTGCTCTTTACTAGCGCATCATCCACACAGATCTCCATGTTTCGCCCCAGCTGCTCTTTATAATTTTTATCGAACAGACATTGATATGTGGCCCCCGTATTCTTCAGACCAAAAGGCATGACCACATAGAGATATGTTCCCTTGCTTGTAACAAAACTCACTCTTTTTCTATCCTTCTATGCCAATGAGATTTGATGATAGCCCTGCGAGGCGTCCATCAAACTGAGAAGCAGGCAACCAGCGGTATAATCGACCAACTAGTCAAACTGAGAAGCACGCAACCAGCGGTAGAATCGATCAACTAGTCTATCATCAGGAGTGGGTATAAATTCTTCAGAAACGCCTTATTCAAGCCTCTAAAGTCAATACACATCTGCCACTTGCCTTCTGATTTGGACACCATCACCGTGTATGACAACCACTCAGGGAATTCGATTTTGTCCACATGCCCCGCCATGAGCAGCTTGTTGACCTCCTGCTCAACGACTCTGTCCATATCTGCTCCATGGTACCTTCACTTTTGGCGCACAGGTCGAACATTGAGATTGATATTCAACCTGTGCTCAATAAACCTCGCGTCAATCCCCGTAAGCTCCTCACCAGTGTATGCAAAGATATCAGTAAACTCCCTGATCAACCTTACAAGTTTCAACCTCAGCGGCTTCCTCAAGTAGGCATGTCAAAAAGGGTCGACAGGGCAGGTCATCCCGCAGCCCGTCGAAACCCGTCGTTTGCCGTGGCAGGGTGGGCTGGGCCGCCATCTTGGCGGGTCTTCAAAATTCCAACTTGGCCCACCCCCGTCATGGGCTGCGGGCTAGGCAGGCTGGCCCGTCTCCCACCAAAAAGAAAAAAAAAACCCAGCAAAATAAGTCAACACATATCCAAGCAAGATACAAAAAGAAGTAGTCATTCTATAATTATAAACGATGTACAAATTAGGATCCCAAACACTGCCTGAAGTTCATTACGGTTTTTTTAGGCTAAGCCTATCTACGGATTGTGAGGATGATTGCGCGGACAGAAGAAATGACGAATCAGATGGAGGAGGACAGATGGGGATGTCTCATAATCTCTCAGCCGCCGCCGCCGTTGGTAACGGGCCACCAGGTGGGGAGCTACATGCTACAGTCGAGCGTCGAGGCTGCGCCGATGGGCCACGCATCAATCGCGGTGAGATTCTAATTAAATGATGCAGAAGATAAGGAGATGTATCTGGGGCGAACTTTTTATTGAAAGCTAAGAAATGGGAAGAATGAAATTAGGGCACACAATCATTCAAAACTTCTCATCTTGGGCACTGCTCGATTCTTCCCTTTGAAATTTTTCGTGTTGGGCTTGGGCTTCAACCTTTAAAAAAATAATGATGGTGGGATGCTATGATTTTTTTTGGTGTTGGGCTTCAAAAATTACTCTATTTAATATATATTAATATACTTATATATATTTTCTATAAAAGGTGGGCCAGCCCGCAGCCCGCGTGGGCTAGCCCATTTAGGCTCGCTCCCTAGCGGGCCTATAATAACTCAGCCCGACCCTAGCAGGGCGGGGCGGGCCCGACTCAGGTCTCAGCCCGTTTTGACAAGTCTACCTCCAAGTCCTTCCCCATCCTGAATTTTCAATCATCTGACCCTTTGACCATTTGTATTTCTTCGATCTCACCCCCTGGCTGGATATCCACTTTCTCCTTTGCCTATCGAGCCTAGACCTCTCTTCCTTGAACCTAGACCCACTTGGTCGATCCAGCATCTCTTCCTTAAATTTGGCTATCCTTTTCGCGATCTGTCGATTATTACTCATCATAGTCTGATAACAACTCCTCGAGGTTAACTGGTCACCCAAAATTTCCCCCACGTTCTCACCAACGGGTTACTTAATCGTCATATGATAGGCCGAAACCACCGCCTGGAAAGCATTTTGGCTGGTCCTTCCCATAATAATGTTGTACGACGACTCTACACTGACCACAACGAATCGAACCATCCTAATCATACGAGTGCCGCCGACCCTAGGGAGACTGGCAGAGCAATCTCCCCCACAGAAACTACCTCACTTTCATTAAACTCGTACAAGGAATTTACAACCTCCTTCAACTCCAAATTGCAGTCCTCATTGAGCTGTTTGAAACAATCATAAAACATCACGTCCACCAAATTACCCGTGTCAATATATACACACTTAACATTGTACTCTGCTGACCAGAGCATCGTTGTGGGGTACAAGAACCCCCTATGTGTCCTCAACTCGAAAACTGATTACCGACATTTGAGACGTGATCCCTACTTCTCTCTCTTACCTATCTTAACTGATACTGCTTCCTCTTGGGCCTCTCGACCTCCATTATTTCTTCTTCGTTTGTTTCCTCCTCCCCGCCGGCCTCTTTGACCACCACATCCTTCATCACCCTCTCTATCATCATCCTCATCTTTGTCACTCATTTCTACCGAATCTTCTCTACACTTCCTCTTTTTTTCCTCTTCGGTTGGTCGTGATATACGAATTCCATCAAGTTTCCTACCCTGATTAAGCGTTCAATCTCGTCTTTCAAATGCCTGCAATTTTCCGTGGTATGTCCATAATCCTTATAGAACCTGTAATAGCGACCCGATTTGGGCTGAGTAGGTCCCTCGCTCCTCGACCTTGGCCATGTTACATCCCGACCATCCAACTTCTTCTCGACTGTTTCTAGCACTTCAACTAACTTCTGGGTTTTCAGCGATGTATACTTGTGAAACCTCTGGCCGCTCATCAGAGGTCGATCCTTCCACCTATCTTCTCGACCTCTATCTGACCTGTTCTGCCTTCTCTCCTGGGTGAGCTAGCCCTTTCCTTCTTCAACTCAGGTCAAGCCAACTGCTAAAACTTAGCAAACTCTTGCTCCGTTTTCTCCCAGTTCACATACTTTTTGCACCTCTTGAGAACCCCATCGTATGTTCGAGTTGGTCTCTTGGCCAAGGAACTTTGACGCGGGCCAACTTGAAAACTCCTTATCAATCCACCAGGTTTGACTTGTCAAAGGCCGAGGGAATCGCCACGCACGCCTGATATAATCGAGCAACATATTTTATCAAAGATTATTCTTCTTCTTGCCTCATCACTATCAAAGTCAGGTATGTTTTCTCCTTGGCCACCACACTTGCATACTCTTTCAGAAACCTCTCCGAAAAATCCTCGAAATCACTCACCGACCCTAGAGGGAGTTGGTGGAACCAATCTAGTCCTCATCCCCTCAAGGTCGAGGAGAAACGCCCTACAGCTCACTGAATCAGAGTACACATGCAATACAACCATATTCTCAAATGATTGCACGTGCCTTGATGGGTCGGTCGATCCGTCGTACATAAAGTTCATTTCCCGAAAGTTGGTTGGGAATGGTGCCTCTAAGATGTCCCTCGAGAAAGGGTGTCCTCTAGCCCAACCTATTGGACTGTCGTCCACCTTGGCTTGTAACTGACGTAAATTTTCAGCCATCCTCTCCAATGTCCGATCCCTCGGGGCTTCATCTCCTCGAGAACTCGATGTGTCCTCCTCCGTATTTTGTTGATGTGCGCCCACCACCGTAGTTGGCGCAAATCACAAATTATGCGAGCCTGTCATTTAAGCTTAGCACATTCGAAAATTATATATATGCGAGATAAGCATAAAAGCTTCTCATATAAAATTATTGAAAATATGATAAACATAAAGAGGAATAAGCAAGTCCACGAAGCTATTATAGCTTCGCCGAGGTTCTAACATCAAGAAAAAAACACGTGAAATCTCAAGTTTGAACCACACTTGAATTGGGTCGGAGTAGATTCCATGACTGGCTCAGTCAATTTCTTGGCTTTAAAACAACCTGCAATGGATGAAGCTTCCGAGTCATCAACCCAATCATATCAACATTTTCTTCTTCTCCATCCTTAAGCCTCCATTCAAAGCCCTGAATCAATCGACCTATTGTCAAGCAAGACACCAACATTGCCATCAAGGCACCAGGGCACATCATTTTCCCAGCTCCAAAAGCCATCGTTTTGTGTAAATCCATCATTTCGTATTTTTCATCAAGAAATCTCTCGGGGTTCCAGCATTCAGGATTTTCCCATACATTCTTGTCCATGTTACATCCATAGATATTTACAGCAATCTGCATGAATAATTAACCCAATTAGCAATCATTCTAGACCGAAAGTGGATATCAAAAGGCTGCAAAACAACATTATCAGGATATATAGTAACAAAAAGCACATCTGAGATGTCTGTTTTACTTGTTTTTTTAGATAAAGAGCCAACGAAGATGAAGAATTAAATAAAACGTCAATTTTAGTTATTTCTTTTATAGTTTGAAACATTTTTCTATGTACTTTCTTTAATATCTTGAAACTTCAGGTGATTTTTTTTTTTTGTTTTATTATTATCAACATTCAGCATATTGTTAAGTTACCAAGAACAGCTTGTCTTATCTTTTATTAAGGATACTAAATATCGAAAATAGAATACACATATTGTAACAAATAGAAGACCAATTCATTACCTCAGTTCCTGCTCGAATATGATATCCTCCTATTTGAGTATCTTCGTGAACGTATCTCAAAGCAAATAAAGGAGCTGGGCTATACTTTCTCAATGTCTCATGAAAAACTGCAGATAAGAACGGAAGTTCGCTTAACTTTTTCTCCATGATTTAATCATTTCCACAAGCACTTTGAATTTCTCGATACAGACGATCCTATTTGCGTGCAATAATAAGTAAAATAAATCAAGATAGATTCCAATAAACTTGTCCATGAATTATTTCAAGGGGGAAAAAAGTGCATTCACCTGTCGTTTTAGATCTTTAGCAAGTTCAAACATGGCCCACTCAGTTGTAACCAAAACAGTATCAGATGATTCTAATATGGCCTCCCATAATAGCATGAGCCTTTGTTGTTCAGATAATGTTTTTTCTTCAGATAACAAAAAGTCGAGGTAACAGTTCACTTCCTGAGAAGCATAACAGAGTGATTACAATAAAATCAGTACAATAAATGATAAACCTGAATTGAAATGCCGCAAATGTACCTCCCCACGGGAAATCCGTTTTTTCTGTTCGTTGATGAGCACGGTCATCACGGCTTGCCTACGAGAATAAATTCGCAGGACATTATTCTCGAAAGACTTGTTTGGTATCCATTTTAGATATGGGAAGAAATCTCTCCAGTCGACCTCAATGAGGCCTTTCATAGGGTCGACTACTAAAATTTCGAAGATATTTTGCTTAGACAATGTTGTTCGAAGTTCCTCGACATATAAAGATTCCACATCATGTCCAAAAACCTGTAAACGTAAACAACTTTGACTAGTTTACAATCGATCAACCAATTTTTTTTTTTTTGTTTTTCATCTATCAGGATCTTATTTTAAAGTTACAAATTTCTCTTTTCATACAAAAGATTCCGCCGACTGACTTACTTACTTGTTTCAATGTCAGTCCAAAAAGTTCAGACTGAAATATTTTTCTAAAATTCACAGCTGCCAGAGGATTCTCTTTCAGACAAGCTTGCAATTGCTTCAACATGTTTTCTGTCATGGTATCCCTGTGAATTTGATGTCGTTTCTGAAGATAATAAACGTTGTAGAGTGAGTTGCATCTTTAGGATATATTACCACAATTTGGTTAGAAAAGAAAACCAGAAGGCTGCAATCACACACACACACACACACACACACATACACACACACATATAGACACACCTGAGCATTAGGTCCCAACATACTATTAAGAATATGCCTCTTGAATGTCTTGTGGAATTCACCATAATCACAGGCTGAAATCATGTTTTTATCACAAGAAATAATGTTCATTGCGTTTGAAAGCTTTCTCTTCGAGATTGATGTGAATCTAGTCACCATAGCCTGTTAAAGGGGGAAGAAAAAAAAAAAAAAGAATCACATTACAAATTAGGACGGGCCATTCATACGTAAAAATTCTTGTAAACTCCAAGAGAACAAGAATTAAGGCTTCGTTCGGGATGGCGATGAAGAAATGAAGTTTGCATGGCTCACCTCCTTGGCAACATCAATAGAGTTGAGGACAACAACTGTCTTGGAGCCAGTTCGAATAGCGTAAACCGGGCCATATTTCTCGGCCCACCTGATAAAAGTCTTGTAAGGTTTCTTGTCTCTCAGTTGCAGTAAATTCCCAATCACCGGTAAGCCCGGTATTTCTGCATTCAATCCATCATAGTTTTTCTTCATCCAACAAGTTCACTAAATATATGGAAGTAAATATTCTTGTTTGGTGATGAGCATATACAATTGAACGCATCAAAAAGCATCCTCTGAATCAGGTTTCAATGTCACTTAAGAGTTGAAGTTCTTACAAACATTTCAACTAAACATTTCAACAAACAGGATCCATGCATTAATTCAACTCATCCAAATAACTACAAACTTGTGTTATTTTCTCAATTTATCTCTCAACTTGATGAATTAACAACAAACTAAGGGTATGTTTGGTTCGAGTAAGGGAAAGGGAGGGGAGGGATTTTACTGGAAGGGAGATGAGGGGAGGTGATGTAAAATAATTTGGAGGGATTTTGTAGGAGGTGAAAGGAGGAAAAATAGCAGCGTTTTAAATATCGTACCGGTCATTAAACCGGACGACCAACGGTACGCGGTTCAACCGGTTTTACCGTCTATTTTACCGGTATTAATAGATATTAAATTAATTTGTTATTACAATATAAATAATGTACAAAACTAACTTTAATTAATACTAAAATTAATTAACATCTAATAACAATGTAAACATATTAAAATGAAGTGTAAAACTTTCAATTTATATAAAAATAATAATAAAAATATATTAAAAATATTTTTTCAAAAAAATTGACATAAACCGGTATTTTGGCCGTATTTTGGCCGATAAAACCGGTATTTTCTGGTATGAAACCAGTATGAACTGGTATTTTGTCAAAAACGGTATTTAGAGTGTAACCGTACCGGTCGTACCACCGGTAACCGGTATTACCGGTAATACCGGCCGGTACGGTACGGTATTTAAAACATTGGAAAATAGTAAACCTTGTTTGGTTAGAAAAATGGAAGGGAAGGAAAATATTGTAAAAATAACAATTATACCTTAATGATGTAAGAAACAAAAAAATAAAATAATTCACATTAAGGTTAAAAGAATAATTTGATATTAAAAATTTTCCTTCCCCTCCAAATTCCTCCACTTTGGAGGGTAGAGTATTTTCTCTTGAAAGAGAGATTTGAAGGGAAAACCTAACCCCTCCCCTCCGTTTCCCCGAACCAAACATAGGCTATAGCAAAAAGGTTACCAGGTGGAGGATTGAGGCCTGAAGATGTCTTCAATTTCCAGCTTTTCTTGAGATATCCATTGATGAACAGCCCAATAATACCAACTATTGCAACCGCAGTTCCTAGTGAAATTTGGTCTACACTTGGAATTGCATCCATTTTTGTTGGTCACAGCATGGAATCGATCAGATTTGTCTTTTTAAAATCTATTGAGGTCTCAAGACGGACTATTATTATATATACAATTATTAGATGACTTTTGCAGATGAGAACATGCGAAATAAATTATTTAAGTTGTCTCCATCTCCATTTGCTATTTGGATATTTGATTTTAGGATTTTTCTAGGTAAGTTCTACAAAAATTCCTTGAGGCTCTTTTCATTTTCTACCATCGGATGACTCAGTTTTTGGAGCAATGCATAGTTATTCACAAATAATGTATTGACACGTGTCATGCAATAAATGCACATTAGATATATGTTCGTAAATAAAGCTATGGATGACTCCATAAGCCGAGCAATCTGATGGGTCCATAGCAAAACTGCCATTTTTTAAATCACATTGGTATTTCTAGGGATGAAAACGATCGGAAACGATCGGCATAGGGCTCAACCATTTCCACTTTCATATTTTTTTCTCGAAAACGAAAATGATACGATAATGTCGGAAACGAAAACGACATCGGTATACCGGTAATATCGAAAACGAAACTATCCGATCGAAAATACATCGATAACGATCGAAATGTATTAAAACGGTTTTTAAAAAACGATAAACACACCACATTATAAAATATAGCATTAAAACATTAATTGAAATATTCTCATGGCATAATAGTAGCAAAATCCAAATTAAAATCCACACCATTTGCTATAACAAAATCCATACAAATTCCAATAACTAGCAATTGAATTGTGACTTGTCCAATAACTATCCAAGTGACGGGAGTGGCGACGAGCAGACGACGAGCAGATGGGAGAGACGACAGACTCCCAGACGAGACTCGAGAGTGAAGACCGAAAGGGATGAAGGGGATTTCAGGATTTGGGCACTGTAGAAGGGATGGGCTGAAGGGGATTTGGGCATTTGGCCCATTTGAGATTTGGATTGGGCTTTATAATTAAAAGTGAGCCTAGTATGGGTTGGATCGGTATTACCGATGGTAAAATACCGTTTAAATACGGTAATTTTCGAAAACGATCGGAAAAGGGCTAAACCATTTCCGTTTTCATTTTCGAATTTTTTTACTGTTTCAATTTCCGTTTTTCCGGTTACCGTTTCCGTTTCCGTTTAGCCTCCAAATCCGAAAAAATTTCGAAAACGATTCCCGGTAATCGGAAATTACCGTTTCCGTTTTCATTCCTAACTATTTTCTAAGTTACAACCACATTGGTATTGTCCTAATACATTATAATTATCATTTTTGTAAACATATATTTACAGTATACATTCATTTTCGTATATATAAGTCGGTACTAAATGACAGTATATAAGTACTCGTGTATTAAAATATGAAATCAACATGTAATACGGCTCCTATATTAATTTATTAAAAATGTTATATTTTTATAAAATATGTCTATTTGAAATTAATGCAACTCGTATGGAGTACATAACTGATAATAAGTTACATTATTTCATTTCAAAATAAGTGTCATTTTAAAATTTTTATTCACAAATTCAATTTGAAGAGCATATTTCCCATGTCAAGAAGCAACTTGGTCAATAATTTCAGATGTCTGATTTGGGTCCCCTTGGTTACTTTATGGGCATTTTGGTGATGCATTCTGCCTCGGGCTATTACCTTTCTCATTCTAAATACATACAAGACCTTCTTGTTCGTTCATGTACTACTGATAATCGGACAATGGTTACACCTATGGATCTTCACTTACAACTTCGTCCAACGGATGGTACTCCTCTTGAGGATCCCTCTCGTTATCGCCATATTGTAGGCAGTCTTGTTTATCTTACTGTTACCAGGCCTGACGTTGCTCACGTTGTTCATATATTGAGTCAGTTTGTGAGTGCTCCTACTTCAGTTCATTTTGGGCATTTGCTTCGCGTGCTACGATACTTCCGGGGAACATCATCTCAGTGTTTATTTCATGATAGACCGCTTCAGCTTCATGCTTACTCGAATTCTACTTGGGCGAGTAATCCAACTGATCGTCGTTTTGTCACTGGTTAATGCATTTTTCTTGGTTCTTCTCCCCTGACATAAAAGTACAAGAAGCAGGCAGTTGTATCTCGGTCTAGTACAGAGGCTGAAATTCGAGCACTTGCTACTACCACTTCAGAAAGTATATGGCTTCGATGGTTGTTAGCCGATTTTGGCATTCCGTGTGATGATCTTACGCCTCTTCTTTGTGATAATACTGGAGCAATTCAAATTGCCAATGATCCAGTAAAGCATGAACTTACGAAACACAATGGTGTTGATGCTTTCTTTACCCGATCTCACTGCATCAGAAAACAATCGTTCTTCAGTATGTGCCGTCAGAACTGCAAGTGGCTGATTTTTTTCACCAAAGCACAAACTAGAGAGCAACATCGACTTCACTTGCTCAAACTCAATGCTTCGGATCCTCCACCCCCACCTTGAGTTTGAAGGGGGGTGTTAACTATTATATTATAGCCCCAGCCCATATGTCCTAAGTCTATATGTGAGGCCTTCTCTTGTGAATAATCAATCATCCAAAACCCTAAGGTTTGTGACAACAATATGAGGTCTTGCTTGCGATAAAGTTTGCATCTTGTTTTCATTCTACCTTAAAGTTGCATCCTTTAGCTTAAATCCACCACCAAATTGGGAGTAGAGTGTTTAGTACCTTTATTTTTTCTTTCTTGTGAATGAATCGTTGCTTAAATATGTGGCCGAATAACCTTCCTTAGAGAGACGATCTAAGGCTGGTCTTTACGATCATACTCGGCAAAAACATTACAAACACTAGAAAATGCACAATAGTGTTAGATAAAATATACATTAATGTTTGTAAGAATGCCCATTAGGGTAACGGCGTATTATGTGAAAAGTTCATAATCAAAACTATTCATAATTACAGCAATGTTACTGCCTCTTTCACCAGTGATGCAACCTTTGACCAATAGCCTTGAAGGGTTTATATATCCAATCCTTCCGCTACGATGAATTCTTATTTATTTCACAATCACTCCTTCTCATATTTTGACATAGATATAAAAATATATAAATGCCTATTTTTGTAATGGATTAATAGTAAACCAAAAAATATTAAGGTAGGCATGTCCAATCCTTCCGCTACGATGCATTCTTATTTATTTCACAATCACTCCTTCTCATATTTTGACATAGATATAAAAATATTTAAATGCATGTTTTTGTAATGGATTAATAGTAAACCAAAAAAGATTAAGGTAGGCATGTCCCTTTTGCCATTAAAGCATTACTAGTACGATATCCGTATACTACCCGGGTACTTGAAAAAATTGGTATTTTCACAAGAAAAAAGAATAAAATAATTATATTTTTATGTTAAATTATAAATAATAAAGATCTAATTAAGTGATATTTTTTATAATGAAACATGTTGATGTGCTCTCGCACCTCAGACCGGCCTTCCAACGACCCTTGACCGCTTTGCTCCCCGAAGACCTACAATGACGCCGGGAGGGGTTCCTGACGTTAAACCACCGACAATCAAGTCATTAAAGGATTAAGGAAAGCCGCATGGAATTTGTATAGAGTATATTGTGTGATTAACCTTACCTCTTTCCCAATTTTACCTACTTATATAAAGTTATTAGTTTCCCCAATACAATTCGTTCTTCCTCCGTCGGATTATTTATTCCCTTTTGATCCTGACGCTACACGTGTCCTTTGTGGACCATCTTTCGTAACCGCCTCCAAGGGTCGGCCCTTAACTTGTAAAATGCTCCCAACGGTCGGCCTTTAGTCTGAAGAATCCCGCTATAGGTACGCCTCGCCTATGAGACCCCCTTTGTTACACAACGCCGAGTTGATTCTGTGCTGACCTCCTGACACTTTCAAGCCCCGCAAACAACCTAGCTACTGTTATGCCAAGTTATGAACTTCGTCAGCCTAGCTACCTAAATACCATGCCTCATTATATTAACGTTGTCATTCTAGCTCCTCAGAGTCTGAGCTGCTAATACTAATGCCTTTGCCCTAGCTATCAAGTCGAGCTATTAGTATAAGCATTGATACGCGAGCTCCTTACCCTCTGAGCTACTAACGTGAGTGGGCTGTTTTCTAAACCCACCGTCCTAGCTAACTCCGATCCATAAGCTGAGCTAG